CTTCTATGTTCAGGAGATTTTAATGAACAAGGGGTTGATTTTTCCTCTCTTCCATCAAGCTATCCAATTGTATTGTGATTGTTTTAAGGGGTTGTTCTTTAGACCTAAGGCTTAAAGTCTCCTCTGTTTAGTTCCAGTTTATTTGTGTGTTTACCTCCCTAAAACTTGTTTGGTTTACTACCATACTAAATGCTGTATGTGTTGCTTTCAGCCAGGCAAGTCTTATGTTTCAATTATGGAGGAGTTTATTCAGCACCTGTATTGCGTTGTGCTTCTTTTCAACTAAATTTCCATTTCCCAAAGGCTGGACACAGGAATGTGTATACATCTTTTTCTGTATGTACACACACACACAAATCTATACATTTCTGCATATAAACATACACATCATCTTAACTGAATGCTCATTTTCATTGAGCCTATGAATTTCTGACATATCCAAAACCTTCATAAACATCCTTAAACTTAAAAAGGTTTTAATTTTTCTATCATCTATCTTTGTAAGCAAACATAACAGAATATAATGAATGGGAGCCTTGTTCTCCTACCCCAGAGGTGTCTTAAATTTCAAAATTATTTATATTTTTAGGAAGGTAAAGCTGTAAAAGAACGAAACTATTCACTTCATACTGCATTTTTCTATCTGCATTGAATGCTTACAGAGGCAGGTTCGGGTCGGGTAGGAAAAATACCCCAACCACGGGGCTGCAGCAGTGGATTTTAAGGAGGTTGTGGGTGTTCTGTGCTTTCCCCCCCCTAAATTAAGGTTGGAAGAGTGTTGGTCTCAAGTCTATGCAAGACTCCTGCTTTCACAGTGCACACTATCTCCACACTTTAAGTGCATTCGCCCGCATGTGTTTCAGTAAATCTCAGTTAAGTACGGAATGCTGATTTCTTCTGACTTTCTAAATAGAATATTATGGAGACCTGTGTGTTTTAAATTAAAACATTTCCAAGGCCTTGGGTACAAGCAAGCTGGAATAGAAAAGACTGTTTAAACCTATGGGGACAGTCCTATATTTAGATTACATTAATTCATAAATATTATACTAAATACCACTTAAATTGGCCTTAAATGACTTCAAAGATAATGCATTATAATATGGCTGTCCTGAGAGCACTAACCTTTATATCTCCCAGTAACTCAGCCTTTAAGCATACTCCACAGCTAGATAAGATGGGGGGAAGTTATGAATGAGTGTCTTGCTAAATTGTTAAAGTGTGATTAGTTAACTCAGTGCATGTGTGTGCGTGTATGTGTGAGCGCGTGGGTGGGTCAGCTCAGCCCCGGTAGATTTCTACCCCTGGGTCTCAGCACACAGCCTCTTCCCAACCCTACAGCAAAGTACCAGAGCAGGAGTCTGTTCCTGCCCCGTGTGGAGAGAAGCGAGGATGGGGGAAATATGCAGCAGCTATGCTCGTGCCATAAAAGCTTATTTTCTCGGGGATCTGGCAAGCCTTTCCCGCCTTCCCCCACATGCTGCTTCCCCCGTACCCTTTCTCTCTTTGCGTATCTGAAAGAGAATCATAATCCCCTGCCTCTTTCCTGGTGTCTGTACTGGTATCAGCCAGAGCTGCTGGTGAGAGAACCTGGGACTTCGCTCTCCTTTTGTGAGTTTTTCTTGGAGGAGGGCATAGTAATGTACTTTAAGTTCTTAATTTTCAATTTCCTCCTGCTATTCAGGGGCACCGCAATAGGATATCTTCATAATATTTTCAAGAATACACATCCTTTGATCTCGTTTCAATGAATTTACACCTGAAATTACTCCGGTTGCTGGTTTTTTTACTTAAAGCTAATTCCTCCCTCTTCCCTCCTCCCAGAACAATCCCACCTTCTCCCCCTCTACACCCAAGGTTTGCTCTCTGCACACTTAAATAAACTACAGCCTACTATTAACCCTTCAGGGTGTACCACTGCCACAGCCTCATCCCCTGAATTAGGAATGAAATCAACTGAGAGTGATGGATCAATTAATGTATAAGCATTATGCATCTCTTATGGAAAGCATCTTGGGGTTTTGTATTGCCAACCTACCCCTGTGAGCCAAGTTGGACTATCTTTATGCAATTCTTCACCTACGCCTGCAAAGCAAAGCCAAAATAAGGACATCTGAGTGAATACAATGCTTCACATGACTGCATTTAGAGAAGGGAAAAGAGAAAAAATAGATTAAAAATAAAATAAAATGAATAAAATAATAATAAAAAAACCCAAACACAACCCTCATCCTTCAAAGCCCCATCATGCTTTTTGACTTAATAGTAATTAATCACTACTGGCAAGAAAGTAATTTTTTTCCAGGTAGCCAGAGGCACATTTTTATCAGGATTAGCTAATAAATCAGCGGCATCGCTAGAAAGGAGTTCGAACTCTTCTCGGATGTACTAAATAAAACCGATCTCTGAAATGCTGGCAACTCGGTGTCTATTGAAGCTTCACTCAAACCCTAGCCCGCAAAATAACAATCATCATAATACATTTTCTTTCCAAAGTCCACAACTTATAGCAGGTTAAAAATGACTGTTTGTTTTGAGATGAACTCATGCAATTTGGTTTGATGATGTGACAAGATTCCCCACCTGGCTTTTTTCCTAGGTTGCAGCTTTACAACAGAAATGAAATGAAGGGAAATGAAGTTAGTATCTTGCTTAATTCAGGGATATGTGTTAAACACATCCAAGCAAGATAAATGATCCCTCTCTCTC